GGGATCAATATGGCATCTGAGCCACTGTACTCCAGGGAGAGACAGCTACAGCCCAGGACAGGGATAAGATGAGAGGATGCTAGGAAACTTGCAGGACTGAAGCTTTTATCTGATTAACGCTTTCCTTGAATTCCAAACCCCTTACCTACTTTTTTATTCTCATAAAAAAGGTCATCTTGAGATGAAGTATAAGACGGTCTTTTACGGTACATAACCTGCCATCTTCTCAGATCTCCAGACATCTGAATAAAGTGCCCACAATATTCAATCCTTGTCTCTAATTACTGGTTCTGGTAGTGACAGGCAGCTCAAATGCCGATGTTCCTAATTTCAGTAAGAGCTTATTAATTTCATTTATAGTCTTAATTTTAGATAATTGCCTTTAGACAATACAGATTACAAACTGTGGGAATGAGTTCAGTTTCCTAATTCCAGTTTACATAGCTTATATACCAGGTTTTGAATGGTCTGGAATTAAGGTGTGTTTATGTGATTTAATAATTTCAATTATACACATACATACAAGAGCATATGTCTTAGGTCATGATGTAAAATGTATTTTTTTCCTGTAGGTAATAGCGAATAAAGTCAGAAAAACATTGAAGTAAAGGATGTTTATTATTGTCTGATATAAGGTACTACATCTACAGTGTTAGATCACAAAAATTCCCTGTTATAAACATGTTATATACATGTTTAGGCTCTCAACTCACTGGTGTCAGAAAATTAATTCATTTTATAACTTGTATTATTGTTGACCATTCTAATAAATATAGCAATACTTCTTGATTCCACTTTTGGGTATATATGCGAAGAAACCCAAAACACTAACTTGAAAGAATATATGCACCCTCATGCTCATTGCATCATTACTTACAATAGCCAAGATATGGGAGCATCCTAAGTGTCCACCAATAGGAGAGTGGATAAAAAAGCTGTGGTGCAGACCTGACTGGTGTGGCTCCATGGGCTGGGCATTATACTGCAGACCAAAAGGTTGCCAGTTCAATTCCTCCTGGTCAGGGCATATGCTTGGGTTGTGGGTAACTGATCGATGTTTCTCTTCCTCTCTTTTTCCCTCCCTTCCCCTCTCTCTAAACTTCAATAAAATCTAAAAAAAAAATTTTAAAAGCTGTGGTACATATATACAATGGAATGTTACTTGACCATAAAAAAAGAAAGAAATCTTACCTTTTGAGACAGCATGGATGGACTTAGAGGGTATTATGCAAGTGAAATAAATCAGTCAGAGAAAGACAAACACTATATGATATCACTTACATGTGGAATGTAAAGAACAACATAAACAAACAAACAAAATAGAAACAGAAAACCAACTGATGGTTGCCAGAGGGGAGAGGAGTTAGGGGACTAGGCAAAAAAGGTGAAAGGATTAAGAAGTACAAATTGGTAGTTACAAAATAGTCATGTGGATATAAATATAGCATAGGGAATATAATCAATAATATTATAATAACTATGTATGGTTTTAGGTGGATACTGGAAATATCAGAGGCAACACTTTGTAAACTATATAATTGTCTAACCACTATGCTGTACAAAATATTGACTGTGGCTATAAGTAAAACACACATACACACCCACAACCACTATGATACAGGAAAAGAAACACTTCTCTGCACCCTTTTGGCCAGTGAAAATTCTACCCTGCTGTCAGCGGTTGAACCAAGAGCAAAAACCGCATGGTCATTCTCTACCAGTGATGGAAAAAGTAACTCAGTATTTGCTCAGCTTTATGTTTCATCCATGGCTTAAAGTGTTAAGTAAAAGAAAACAAAAAATCTACAAGAAAACATAAATTTTAGCAGTGAAGATGCTTTTTACTTTTTTGTTGGGATCTTCTACAATAGGCATGTTACATTAGTAAAATTAGTGAAAAAATAACCTATTCCAAAAAATTACCTAAAAGAGCCCTGGCTGATGTGGCTCAGTGGATTGAGTACCAGCTTGCAAACCAAAGGGTCACTGGTCTGAATCCTAGTCAGAGTATATGTCTGGGTTGCAGGCCAGGTTGCCAGTAGGGGGCAACCACATATCGATGCTTTTCTCCCTCCCTTCCTCTCTCTCTAAAAAATAATAAAATCTTTAAAAAGAAAAAAGTTACCTAAAAGATATCATTAATACCAATGACAGGAATTTGATATCATTCAGGGGACAATTTATTCGCATACAATTATTAAACACTAGAATCTGATCTTGTATCTCGCATGTCAACCACAGACCAATGCATTACAACTTGGGAGAAGGTCCCTTGTGGGTACCTACAAGATGTGTGTAGAAGAAGGTCAGAATATGCTTCCAAGCATCTACCTGGGCCCTAGAATGAGCCCTGGGCTCCCCACCCCACATCACAGGCTTTTTCATTAATATGTGCAGGGAAGCTGGGCATATGGGGAAGTAAGGAGGCTCAATGTAATGCCCAGTCCCAGGGTAAGAGATGATCTGGGGTTTTTCCTTTCCACGGGCCTGTAACCGTTCAGAGGCTATTTGGGCCAATAACTCACTCCTCCAGTTATGGTCATCCTGACCAACGATGAAGAGGATAGGTCCCTGAGCCTTCTCTATTGGAATCATGCAGGGGTTTTCACACTTTCCTACAGGATCATTCAGCACATCCACAATGTCCAGGAGGCCTGAGAAAAGTATCTTGCTTTTCCTCATGTCGTAGCCCAGCGGTGGGACATGAGTCTCCTTGTAGCATATGGCTCTGAGTGTACTAAACCCAGATCCATTGATGGACACTGTAGCTGAGATGTTCTTCAAAAATGAGGCCATGGAGAGACAGATATCAGCCCCTGCAGAAATGCCCAGAAGGCCAATACCGGGGCCCCTTACCTGGAAGAAAAGAAGGGAGAAGAGTAAAGGGTCAAGAACCCACCACACAGAAAAATGTTTTTTCTAAATGCAACTAGATGTGCCTCTAGCTTTAATTTATGAACTGGGCACAAGAGAATCCAACTAAGCTGATAGGAGTTCCTTCCCACATAGTAAAGAATATCGGGCTGGACACAGCAAATAAATCTTGCACTCTCGGGCAAGTTTGGGAATTGGTAACACACATTCCAGAGAACAGTTCACTAGAGAACTATTGTGGAGTCACGGCACCTGCCGATTTCAGGTGGGTATAACCGGAGTCTCAACAAGCTTGAGTGTGGTAACTCTGTGGAACCATGTTCTGTTTCAAGAAGTGAAGTATTCCACAGACCCCATCTAAATATGTTAGCAGATGATTAACTTCATAGAAACAAAGTCAGATTTCAAAGTCCAATTATGCAATTCTTAGCTTCTGAAATGGGTGGGCAAGTTCTGATCAAAATCTGAGAACATACTCTGTTGTCAGAAAAAGACTGAAAAACAGGTAGGCAAAGCAAACAAATTAGAAGCTCCATGACATAAGAAAACTTGATGTTTTCTTAAACATCAAGTTATTAAATAATTCCTATAAATAAAATACCGCATATATTTTATGATTTAGTCTGCACCATGAATCCATCTGACAGAGAAAGTGGAAATAGTCACATAAAGTCAAGGAAGTCTCCAAAAGAAATCTCTGACAGAACAGCATGGCAGCACCTGGCACAAGCGAGTGCAAAGCGTCACCCTCTGGAGATATATCTAGGGAGCACGATACAGTAAAGGACATTAGCAGAACCTCGGGGTGTTGAAGCATGTAGCACAGGGCTTCTTCAAAGTAGTCCAGATTTATGTCGCCGAATGCCTTGGGGAGATCTTCAAAGTCATAATAAGCTAGAGCCAATGTGGCAAAGCCATTGCCAGCCAGAAGGCTTGCTCGATATTCCAACAGGCCCCCTCCAAGACCAAAGAGATCAATGATTCCAGGGAAAGGTCCAGGTCCTGGAGAACGGAATATTGTAAAGGGAAGGGAATATTATAAAGGGAATATTATAAAGGGAATATTATAAAGGGAATATTATATAATGCAAAGATTTTTGCTTTCCTTTTAGGGATCTTTCTAATTTAGTGAGTTCCTGTAAATCAAAGGGAAGAAAACACCTCCCTGAGCCACTACTGAAAAGGAAAACAAGTTCCTTTAGGGAAGAAAAATCAACAAGGTCCCTTCTCATTGATGAGTTTACCCCAGGCAACCCAGGCTCACCAGGCGGCAAGAAGAGCGTGGCGCGTACCCGGCCCGCTCGCACCGGCTCCCGCCGCACCCCAGGTGCAAGGAAGTCTCGCAGGTGCACTGCCCGGCCCAGGAGACGCCCTCCCTCGGGCTCGTGGCCGTCGAGCACCTCCAGCTCCACGACGAAGGGCGTCTGCACGTCCCGCTTCAGAAACTTCCAAAAAGGCTTCTCGGGCTCCAGGGCCCAGAGGAGCCCCATGGGCTCGAGCCCCGCGAAGCTGCCGCCAAGGGCTGGCACGCGCATCAGGTCCAGCTCGCCGCCAGCATCCGCGCAGTAGCGCGCGTGGGCCCGGAAGAGCGTGCCCTTCTCGTCGCGCAGGGACGAGCGCAGCGTGACCCGCTGCCTCTGAGCCAGGCCGCGCACGACGATGCGCACGGGCTCGTCCCAACGGCAGCGGCTGCTTGGGTACAGCGTCAGGGTCGCCGCCATTCCGGCCTCGCGCAGCTGCAGACTGTTCGGCCAGCTCGGAGGCTGGGGGCGGGGCTGGAACCCAACCCCGGCCGGTGGGGAGGAGGTGGGACTCGAGTTCTCGAGCTCCCAGAGCGATTGGCTGCTGAGTGGCCTCTGGAGGCGTCTGGGTTCATCGATGCCTGGGGCCACGCACCCCGGACTCATCTGCGGTAAAAGCACCAGGTGGTTCTCCCGACCGACGGCGGGGACGGCGGGGAAAGGCTGAGGTGTAGGTGCGGCGCTGGACCCAGAGGATACTTAATAGCATCGGGCCACTCTCGCTTGTGGAAGTGAACGTTGTTGAGTAATCGATTCGTGGTGAAACCAAGAATGAGTTTAGGTAGAATTCCAAGAATTCCATTCCCTCCACTGAAAAGGGTAACTTAAAACAAAGCAAAAAAACCTTTAGTGTATTATAACGTACATACAGAAAAGTGCACGCATCCTAAATGTACAGTTCAACGAATTTTCACATTCCGAACATACCTGCCTAACCACTCAAATACAGAAACCCTTCCCCAAAGGTGTGTTATCCTGGTTCCAACAAAACGGGTTCGGGTTTTTTTTGGGTGTGTGTGTGTGTGTGTGTGTGTGTGTGTGTGTTTAGTGCATTTTATGGGAATGAACCCTTCGGTGTGTTTTGCCTTTCTGCTTTCGCTCAGTGGTGACACCAAGAACTGTTTCTTTCTGCCAGCTCTGCCATTCGTGGTATGCGAAGGTGGCTGTCAGAGTAATGGGGCTTACTGCTTCTTTGTTCATGTTTGGTGGGCGAGAGAGAATTCCATGCGACTGAAATCACATACTTTCCCCTGGGTGGAATGTTGAGATTGGCTTAAACCAAACACAGATCACCTTCATTGTCCTTGCGTCAGAGTGCAGTTAGCTTTCCCTGAAGGCCACAGGGCAATACCTGAATGAAAATCAGGACTTATAAAAAGGGACACCAGTCATGTATGCTGAGGAAGCACTTGGAAGTATCCCTAGAGCAGTGGAGGAGACCCATTATGATATTGATGGTTTTTTTAGAAGTGAGAGCAACAAAAGAAAAAAGTATTAAAAGATTTTATTTATTTTTAGAGAGAGGGAAAGGGAGGGAGGGGAAGGAGGGGAGGGAAAGGTAAATGTGTGGTTGCCTCTTGGGCGCCCCCCTACTGGGGACCTGGCCCTGAAACCCAGGCATGTGCCCTGATTGGGAATAGAACTGCTGGCCTTCTGGTTCACTGGCTGGCACTCAATCTACTGAGCCACACCAGCCAGGACAAGAAAAGAAAATTTTTAAATTCAGAGAAAGGAAATACGGGATCAGCAGGAGTTATGACTATTACTGGAAAAAAGGAAGTTGGAAATTGACTTTAAGAAGACTTGTTATTTAGATTTGAACAAGGGATTTGACATTAGAAAATACATTTTAGGAAACGAGAAGAAATTAAGCATATAGTAGCAAGATGAAAATTCTCCCTCAGTTTATCTTCAGGTCCCAAAATCAAGTGGAGATGAGAGACACTGTGGAAACAGGGCAGGTGAAGGGGCTCCGGGAATGCTACCCCAAATATGTCATTTTGGCATATTGATTATTTTGAGGTAAAGTCGCTTGAAAAACAGCAGGTGAAAGAAGGGCCCCCGTCCTCTTTTTTTCCCCAGGGTGAAACTCTAACGTGAGAGCTGTCTTCCCTGTATCAGGAAGAAGAAAGAGTCTTATCACCAGAAATAGGAGTCAATGCTGAAGGATCCTGCACAAGATCTTGTTAAAATAATTTCTCTTCCTTTAGTCTCCCTCATATATTTTACTTTTCCACAGTTGCCACTCTGATCAATCTAGTATATAAGTACTTAGGTTTTGCCACTTCTTCATTTTCTTGTGGAGACTTTCTGTCCATGTAAAATAAAATTAGTGTTTTTTAGGGGTTTTTTTTCATTGTTGTTCAAATACAGTTGTCTCCATTTCCCACACACACACCATTCCCCCCACTCCAACCATCCCTACCTCCCACCCTCTATCCCACCCCTGCTTTGTTCTTGTTCATCTGTTTTATGTCAATTTAATTCTCCAGCCCAACCGGAAACCCTAAGAGGACAGAGGTAAAATTTCTGCCTAGCAAAAGTTTGGTAATGTTGAAATAGTAACAAGAATTGAAATAGAGCACAAATGGATGCTGTCAAAATGGTGAGGAAGAAGTCTGTGTCATATTCCTAGAACCTATTTCTGATTAATGTCTCAACAAGTATGAAGGATACAATATCCTCAACAGTTAGCTCAGTCAGCAGTTTGTCTTGGCACTCTGAACAACTAACTGATGCAGAGAAGAGAAGCCCCAGAGTGAGGGTTGGCTGACTGTGAGTCAGAGAAAAATCACGTATTTTTCTACTCCAGGCGGGGAATTGTCTCATTTCTTTTCTGTTAGTCAGCAAATGAAGTAAACTCATTATCTGTGTTAATATCACCATAGAAGTAAGAGAAAAAAATAAAAACAAAGTATTAGACACTGGTGGACTTCAACATGTAAGTAGAAAATGAAAAGTTTTCTATGAAAAACTTAAGAAATTATACTGGTTTGACAGTTTACAAGTCCTTAAAACTCCAATGAGCTGGTTCAACTCTGCCATATTCTCCACAGTTCCCAGTTGGCTATCCTGCAAAGAGCATGGATGGGCTGTACTGGAATTCGTGGTGATACACCTGAAGAACACGACACCGTGTGCGCGAATGTGAACGAACGTACGCAAACGTGCATCCTGCTGGGTGGATGAGAAGAGGCAGAAATTGATGGACACATGGCTCTGGGCCCAAATACAGTGAAGGACCCCAGAGACAAGGGAAGCAGCTTAACAAAGAGAAGAAAGGGGATTTGGGTAAACTGAGCCCCAGCTCTACGTTTACTTCATGAAGAACTTCTCTGAGACTTGGTTTCCTCATGGGTAAAATGAAGATGACACCTCCATTACACAGATTGGCGAGGATTAAGTGACAAGCACGCAGTAGCGTACAAGAACAAGCTGACAAAACAAAAAGCACTGTATTATTTACGGGGGGGGGGGAATGTCAAGAATTGCTTTATTTAAAAGATAATTGAGGAAATAACACCATAACCGTAAATTAATTTATTTAAAGTAAAAAATGCCTTAAGCTTTAAGAAAAGTTTCCTTAAGCCTATTATGGTACTATTTATATCAAGTGATATAAATATTCATTTATTCATTTACTCATCATTTATTTTAATAATCACTTATGTAATTCATCTAAATAATATTTTGCCAGCTTTCAAAACAACTAAATCATAAAGTTGATATTTTTGATCAACTAAATCAAAAATAGAAATGTAATTTGTAATGTATTTGCACTAGGAAAATACTTATTTATCCAAGGAGAAGACATTGAGGAACTGAAAATATGTTTGCTATGAAAACTTTCAGTAGTTTCACATCAAGTAATAATCTAACTAGTAATTTACAGCTAAGACGTTTGCTTCCATTCTTGAAGGAAAAACTCAAATCTCATAATATTTTTTATATTATATGCTTTTCTTCTATGGTAATCATTTATTAAATCAAGTTAATTATTAACCAAGTTCAACCATGGTAAATAATTAAATAAATAATTGCTGAGCACCGTTATGTACAAGTTACTGTTAACCAGTGTTACTCACTTTTCCTTTCAGAGCTAAAGCCTTGTGTTTTGTGAGAGACTAAAAAGTATGCCTTTTGTACCTGTTGTGTTGTTTGTTGTCATTAATTTTTTTTATTGTTGTTCTATTACAGTTGTCCCAATTTTCCTCCATTGGTTTCCCCTGACCCGCCCCCCCCATTGTTGTTAATTTTTATAAGAGTTTATTTAGGGTGGTGGTGAGCAGTGGAAGGGGCTTCATATATGGCAACGAAAGTTGGTCTGACTTTGGGTGGTGGGCACACAATGCAATATACAGATCTTGTATCGTAGCAATGTACACTTGAAACCTATATGATCCTATTAACCGATGTCACCCCAATAACTTAATACAAAATTGGCAAAAGTTTATCTGAGCCAAAATGAGGGCATATGCCTAGGAGCAAGATCTCAAATGCTCCCCATCTATTGTATTTTCTGCAGAATCCCTTTCCTCCCAAATAACTGGAAGGGAAATAGTTTATAAAAATCTTGGAAACTCATTGTTAAGTTCATTTTAACAGTGAGAAGGGAAAAACTCTTAAGTAATTATTAAAAAGAAAAAAACTACAGTCCTAACTAGTGTGGCTCAGTTAGTTGGGCATTGTCCCACAAAGCGAAAGGTCGCTGGTTTGATTCCTGGTCAGAGCACATGCCTGGGTTGCGGATTTGGTCCCTGGTTGGGGCGTGTATGAAAGGCTACAGGTGGGTATTTCTCTCTCACATTGATGTTTCTTTTCCTTGCTTTCTTCCTCCGTTCCCTTCTCTAAAAATAAGTAAATAAAATCTTTAAAAGAAACTACACATGCACACTAATTGTAACAGATGTTCCCAAGATTAATTAGCACCAGAGATGCCACACAATCAAGTAAAAGATTACAGTTTTGGTGGGATTATCCCCTTTTCCCCACCCAGGTGTTTGTGGAAGAAAATCTGGAGCTGCTTCCAAGCATCCACCTGGGCCATGGCATGTGCCCTCAGCTCCCCTCCCCAGATGACAGGTCTGCCCACCAAGGTGTGCAGGGAAGCCCGGCACAAGGGAAAATAAGGAGGCTCAATGAAGTGTCCCGCCGCAGGGTAACAGGTGATCTGGGGCTTCTTCCTGCCATGGGCCTGCAGGCGTTTAGAGGCCTCATTAGCATAAAATTCACTCCTCCGGTTGTGGTCATCCTGACCTACAAGGAACAGGAAGGCACTCTCAGCCCTTTCCATAGGAATGAGGCTCTTCTGGTCAGATTCTTCCAAAGGGTTGTTCAGGATATCCAAAATGTCTGCAAGGCCGTCTTTGGTCACCTTGATTCGATTTAAGTGCACGCCCACAGCGGGCAGGGTCTTGCCTTTGTAGTGTAAGTCTCCTACAACATTGATCCCTGAGCCATTGATTATGATGGCGGCAGTGATGCCCTTCAGGAACGAGGCCATGGAGAGGCAGAGATCACCTCCTTTGGAAATCCCAAGCAGCCCGACTCCTGGACCCTTTACCTGACATAAGGACAGAGGGAAAAGAATGAGTCTGTGAACCAGCCTACTGTAGCGCCTAGAACTGGAAGGCAGTTGGAGCTGAGCCTGCATCTGGACTCCACCCTCTACCACGGTCTGCACCCGTGGGATACCTACTTACTCTTCCTTCCCACAATTTCTCCATCACCTTTGTTGTGACTTCAGCAACCATGTGGATGATCTACTGAATACTTTGGCCTCTCAGTTCCTTGACCTCCATACCTCCAATGATATTTTTCTCTACCCCACCCGAGCCACCCACTCCCACTGCCAGAACCTAAACCAAGCCATCATCAGTAAGTACCTCAGCTTTAAAATCTCAGCTGCCAGCATTCTACTTTCTAATCACCATCTTCAATACTTCCAGTCTGGCCATTTTCGTGCCACCTGTTTCCACCTACCACGTTTTTTTGCTGTCAGTGTCTCTCTCGTGTTCACTTCCCACCTCATCCAGCTTAGATTTTAGCTTCGTTGTTATTATCCCTCCCTTTCAAGCGCTCTTAGCTAATACCTCCTTTCCTTTGGTCATACTTGCCTGGAAAAGTGATAACCTTGGTTAAATGCATCTGTTCCCTTTCTGTAGGCCTGTATTTGTGTACATGAACATTGCTGGGGAAAAAACACATTTGTGCTGACAGATCTTTCATTTGATGACCACAGATTTCAAACATGCATCCATACTGCCCATGAGTCCTGCCACACTTCACTGTTTGCTTTTCACGTCTCCAAAAGACAATTTCACGCATTCTCATGTTCTCAAGCCTCTTGAACCCCTCTGTATTTCCCTTCACTTTCACCTCTCCACACTTCATGGGGAAAATAGAAGCTAGCCAGTAGGAACGCTTCCTCATTTTCCCCTGCCAAATCTACTAGTTGGAAATGAGCTCAAGTTCTCTGCCTTCCCTCCCGCTTTCCAAAGAAGTATCTCCGTTCTTATCAAAGGCCACCCCTCTGCTTGGCTTGGGATCCCACCCACTCTCATTCTGATAGATCTTGTTCCTACAGCTACTGCTCCTCCGCCATAGCGTTCTCGCCTGGCTCATTCCTGTAAGTGTACTTCATGCTCTAGTACCTCTTACATTTTAATTACAATTCCTTGACCCCACATCCACTCTGCCATAGTTTTTTTACTCTTTCACAGCAAACTTTGGGGGAGAAGCTGTTTGTAGTTGCTCTCCTCTTTCTTGTCTTCCATTCTCTACTCAGTCCCCTCCAGGTTCATTTGGGTTTACACTGTTCTACAAGGACTGATCTGTCACAGTTGCCAACATCCTGGATTGTAAATGGCCATTTGACCTCTCGACAGCAGTCCTTTTTTCTTCGTGTAGCCTCTACAATGGCACCCTAGACTGGTTTAAGATGTTTACTCTTCATTAAAGTACTAGAAATGAAATGATATTATTATCCTAATTTTTCAAAGAAGGAAACAGAAGCTAGCCTTACAGCTAGTATTTGGTGAAATCAAAACTCAAATTTAGCTCTGGCTGGTGTGGCTCAGTTGATTGGAGTGGCATCCCATAGATGGAAAGGTTGTGGGTTTGATTCCCAGTCAGGGCATACACATAGGTTGTGGGTTCAATCCCTGGGTGGGGTGTGTACGAGAAGGCAGCTGATCAGTGTTTCTCTCTCACATCAATCTTTATTTCTCTCTCTCTCTCCCCACCCTTCCTCTCCCTCTAAAGGCAATTTAAAAATATCCTTGGGTGAGGCTAAAATAAATAAAATTAAAACTCAAATTTAACCTTTCTCTATCCGCTTTTTTTTAAAAATTGCAGCCAAAATAGCAAAACATCAGTAGAACTTGGTGAGGCAGAGAGTCCAGATGTTGATGATGTCATCTGGTCTCCTGAACACACTTGTGCCTGAGCCTAGCCCATGCCACGTGACTTTTCAGTCATGAGACAGTAAGTTCTCCTTCTGCTTTAACAGTTTAGGTTGAGTTTTCTGTTGCTTGAAATGGGAAGACTCCTGATACAATTACTAAAAAATAGCCAAGTAGATTGATTGAGTTTCCATCCTCTTTCAGTCCCTCCTCCATGTTTTGAAAAAATGAGTAAAATTGAAGGGAGGAAGAAAACCGAAAGGAAAAAAGGAAAGAATGGCAAACAGTAGTTAGACTTGAGTTAAATTAACAGGAGGATTGTGTGTTTTTACAGTTCCTTGTTCAGAAACCTGCGTCATCGTTTCCCTCTGACTTGATAGGTGGCATGGCCCACATTAATCTGTGTCCTGAACCAACCCAGTTGTTCTCCCGGGCTACCCTTAATGTAACGGGCCATAACCATCTTGTACTTACTTCCACATCTCATTCTAATCCCACTATACCCTATCCCTTTTTGTAAGAGCTCCTGTGCTTCCATATTGTAAAATAATCTTCTGATCCTCTGATATCCTGAGCCTAGAAGCTTCCAAACATTTCTTAGTACCCAGGTTTCTTGACCATCAAAGAACCTATAAAACTTAATACTGTGCTCTCAGAAGGAACACATAGAAGAGAAGGGAGGGTTGCTAAACACAAACATTAAATTGAGGCTGCCTGGAGGCAATGATTCCTTCCCCCTTTCTTTGTACTTCCTGTGAAACCCAGGCTTCCCAGATGTGTTGGGGCTCATTATGAAATACCATAAAATATTAAAATTTAAAATTCCATAATGTCAACTAAGAACTAATTTACTTGCAGGAAATTTATCACAGTAATACATAATTGCATAGAAATTGCCTATGAGAAGTGACTATAAAAGGTAGTGTGTTGGAGGTAGGGAGTGGCTGTCATGAATTTGTCTAGTTCTTGTTGATTTTTTTTTTAAAGATTTTATTTTTAGAGAGAGGGGAAGGGAGGAAGAAAGAGAGGGAGAGAAATATCAATGTGTGGTTGCTTCTTGTGTGCCCCCTACTGGGGACCTGGCCCACAACCCAGACATGTGCCCTGACTGGGGATCAAACCGGCAAACCTTTGGCTTGCAGGTGGGCACTCAATTCACTGAGACATATCAGCCAGGGCATAGTTCCTGAAAACCAAGAGCATTTATGAAGAGAAGGCCTAATATGTAGACCACAAAACTGAGAAATTCCAGCCTGAGGGTGACTAAGCGGGTAGTTCACAGCTTCTTCAAAGTACTCCAGATGGAAGTTCTCCAAGTCTTTTGGGAGGTCTTCATGATTATAATAAGCCAGAAGCATCACGGCAAAACCCTTCCCAGCCAGCATACTAGCTCGATATTCCAGAAGGCCACCTCCAGCTCCAAAAATGTCCACAATCCCAGGAAAGGGCCTGGGTTCTTTGGAAGAAACAAAACACAAAACTAAATTATTCTTAAAACTCTTTGCAGAGATGTCAAAAGCCATTTGCTGCCTATTTGGTAATGTCAAAGTTTTATATTGACAATCAGAAATACTGAAATGCCTCTGGTCTTTAAAAATAATTAACGCACTGGCTGGCATAGCTCAGTGGATTGAGTGCAGGCTGCGAACCAAAGTGTTGCAGGTTCGATTCCCAGTCAGGGTACATGCCTGGGTTGCAGGCCATGACCCCCAGCAACAGCACATTGATGTTTCTCTCTGTCTCTCTATCTCCCTCCCTTCCCTCTCTAAAAATAAAGAAATAGAATCTTAAAAAAAACACACAATAAACCCATCCATTTAAAATATAATAATAATACTTTACAATGAAAATAGCAAAATCATTGCCCTCTCCCCCCAGTTGACAATGCGAAATGCCAGTGAGAGTGAAACCCTCACTACATTGCTGGTGGAACCCTCATACATTGCTGGTGGAAATGCAAAATGATACGGCCACTCCAGAAAACAGCTGGGCAATTTTGCATAAAGTTAAACACATATATTTACCATATGATCCAGCAATCTCACTCCTAGGTATATTTACCCAAGAAAAACGAAAACTTGTATTCTCATTAAAAACTTGTACGCAACTGTTTACAGTGACTTTATTCATAGTCTTCAGTGACTTGAAACCCAGACGTCTTTGAAGTGGTGAGTGAGTATATAGCCTGCAGTGCATCCACACGATGGGGCGCTGCAGCGAAACAAGAAGGAACTGCCAGCGTATGGAGCAACTCAAATGAGTCTCAAGTGCATTACGCTAGACAAAAGGCTACCTACTTTGTATGACTCCATTTATTGGATGTTTTCACCACTTATATAAAAAGTTTGTATTTAATATGCACAATTTAAAGAATAATAAAGCAAACACTTTATCTCCAGCATTTTTTAACAGTTTTTTTAAAGACCTTATTTATTTATTTTTAGAGAGGGAAGGGAGGGAGATAGAGAGAGAGAGAGAGAAACATCGATGTACAGTTGCTGGGGGTTATGGCCTGCAACCCAGGCATGTACCCTGGCTGGGAATCGAACCTGCAACACTTTGGTTTGCAGCCTGCGCTCAATCCACTGAGCTACGCCAGCCAGGGCTTATCTCCAACATTTTAAAAAAATAACAGTACCATCCACTGAAGGCTCCTGAGTATCTGCGCTCCTTACCTCCCTTTCCACTGTCCTGGACTTCATTCACTGGATTTTCTTTACCATATCACCATTTATATGTGTACTTTAAACACTGTTTTGTTTAGTTGTGCCTTTTTAAGAATTTTATGTAAGTGGAATGGAACTGAATGTGTTCCTCTGGGACTTGACTGTTTACTCAACACCGTTTTTGAGATTCATGCATGTTGGTTCTTGTGCCTGCAGTTCATTTACACTTGCTGCTGTAAATATACCTCGATTTATTTATCACTTCTCCTATTGATGGACATTTGGGCTGTTTCTTACTAACAGCCCAAATGTCCATCAAAAAAGTTAGAATGATATTATCAACTTTATAAGTAAAGGTTGTTTCCAGGAATAGATAAATAAATATATTCCTTTTAGCAGTGTGAATTCCTTTTCTTCTACATACTTGTTAACAACAATTGGTAATATTAGACTTCTAAATTTTAGCAAATTTTGAGTGTGTGAAATGTGTAGTTTTATTTTGCATTTCTTTGATCCCTGTTAGGATAAGCATCTTTATATTTTCCTTGGCCAATTGCTTTTGATGTAATGGAAATATTATCCAATAATTTCAGAAGATTTCTAGTTAATAGCAAGAACTATTAACTTCCTCCTTCATTCTAATTTTCTTAAACCTTAAAATACTATGGGAGTTATAAACAAAGTTATAAAATTGAGAAACCTTTTAAGAAATTAAAAACTTGAATCCTCTTATAAATAGTTTTTTTTTCATTACAACTGTCTTGTTAGTCGGGATAGATGGCAAACCAAGGCAGAGAGGGGAAGGAGACACGTCTCACTCATTAATCCAACAGTCCTGAGCATGGTCAGATGTTCTGAAAAGCCACAGGAAAAACCATGATAGCACAGGACCAGGGGAGCCCTTGAAATGCTCTGTGAGTAGTTTTCACTACCGGGAAAGAAAGCCTTTGAAACTGTATATTAATCCCAAGGTCTGGAGAGGGACGAGAAGGGAGAACCTAGAAGCCGGCGAGGAGCATAAAACCCCTAAAACCACTACTGCCGGGGCACTCAGACTTGTGGGGGCCTGCTGGCAGCTTCTAGCTTGTGTATTTCATAAATAAACTTGCTATCTCATTTCTACTATATGTGTTGTATCTCACCTGAATTCATCTCCTGCGAGCCAGACCAGAACCGAGGAGGGGAGGTCTCCTCTACTCGGTCCTCCCCATAACATTCTCCCTTTCTTTAAGGATAGCTTTTAACTGACCTCTCACTTTTGGAGTGGCAGAGCCATCTTGCCAGGTGGGCTTACTTACATTCCATTCCTGTCTCCTTGATACTTCAAGGCCCCTCTGACATTCCGGAACTTTTGGAGCTACCTCCATCCTCGCGAAGCGGAGGAGGTTAGGAAAAAAGCGGAAAGAAACTGCAACTGGGTTACGCTCACCTGGCGTCAGGAAGAGAGTGGCGCGCACCCGGCCCGCGAGCACCGGTACCCCCCTCACCCCAGGCGCAAGGAAGTCTCGCTGGTGCACCGCCCGGCCCAGGAGACGTCCTTCCTCGGGCTGGTGGCCGTCGAGCACCTCCAGCTCCACGATGAAGGGTGTCTGCACGTTCCGCTTCACCAGCCGAAGGAGGGGCTTCTCGGGCTTCAAAGCCCAGAAGAGCCCCATGGGCTCAAGCCCCGCAAAGCTGCCGCTCAGGGCTGGCACGCGCATCAGGTCCAGCTCGCCGCCAGCATCGGCGCAGTAGCGCGCGTGGGCCCGGAACAGCTCGCCCTTCTCGTCGCGGCGCAGGGACGAGCGCAGCATGACCCGCTGCTCCGGTGCCAGGCCCCTCACGATGATGCTCACCGGCCTGTCCCAGCAGCAGCGGCTCGCAGGCTCCAGGGTCACCGTCGCCACCCTGCGAGCAGAGGCCGGAGAGACCGGGCTACCAGGCCTCAACTTTGGAGAACTTGGCAGCAGCGCCCAGCTCCTCGGGCCCCGTTGGCAGAGCCCGGACGCTCGCAGGACAGCGGGAGCTGTGGCCATCATTTAGCGACTTGATTTCAGAATTCGGATCAACTGCACGGGGCTGTGGAGGGAGTTAGGACTGGTGCGGGAGCCTCTAACGGCAGGCTGCCCAGCTGCAGCCTAAGAGCCCAACGGGGCAGAGCAGCCCGCTAAACTGAGCTTGGAGGGCCAGTCCTGCCACTCAGCAGCAAAAGGGAGCAGACACACATGAACTTGCACAAAGCCTCGTCGCTGAAAAACTCCCACTGAATTGGAGACAAAATGTCCCAGTTCTGCCTCCTAAAAGCTCTTGAGCCGTGCAACGGGCTGGGCCTTGGTTGCCACAGAGGGAACCTGACGTGCACACGCTAGTCCCTGCTGCAGCAGGCGAAGGGTTCCAGCGTCACCTTCGTCACCTTCGCGGCTATCTTGATTTCCCTTACAGAGAAAAAAGGGGAGGCCTGGCTAGGCGGAGTCAAAGGCGGGACAGGGGTCACTCCAACTTCCTGGGGATCAGTTGCTATGGAAGCCATTGCATTCACTACTGACAACCAGCCAGCTTGTTGACAGTCTAAGGCGTGTGTGAGGCCTTCTAGAAAGTGTGCAAATCGACAAGTACCTGAATGGAAGAAAATATCTGCTAAGAATTCATTACTAATCCTGCAATCCAATGGGGTGAGTATGGGAATTGAGGTCCACAGCCCTGATTGGTGGCTCTGTTGGTTGGGCCTTGACCTGCAAAGCGAAAGGTTGCTCTTTGGATTTAGGGTGGAGCACATGCCTAGGTTGTGGGTTCCGTCCAATCGGAGCACGTACTAGAGGCAACTGATCCATGTTTCTCTCCCTTCCCTCCCTCCCTTCCCCACTCTCTCTAAAAATAGAAAGAAGAAGGAGAGAAGAAAAGGAAGGGAGGGAGGGAGGAAGGGAGGGAGGTGCTGACAGTTCCAAGAACCTGCAGTTTTTAAAAGCATCTCAAATGTGTACGGTTGACCTTTGAAGAAGGGGTGGGATGCGGTTAGGGGCGCTAACCTCACGCAACAGTGGAAAATCTGTAACGCTAGTAATTCGGAGGATCAGTGGAGAGACATTGTCCTAATCCCTCCCTTACCCCTGTTCCTTTACCAAGGCTTTTCCTGGAGCTAAGGGTGCCCAGAGCAGCTTCCAGAGCAGGTAGATGTCTATGGGGTGAGACCTACCTATGTTCCAGTCTGACCCCGCTCCTTAAGAGTGTGGTGATACTTAGCAAGCTACATAACTAGGCCTGTGAATCCAATTTCCTTATCTGTAAAATGTTTTTGTGATGACCACATAGGCTAACACATATAAAAACACTGCCTACTATAAATACACTTATAGTAGGTGCTCACTGAGTTTTGTTTCTCAACTCACAAATCTGGTCATGGGCAGTGTCAGTGTGGAAATTGTATCACATTACTGGCAGGAAGAAAGTGGCGTTTTTGAATTGGGTAATTTGAGGAGTGTTTCATAAAGGCACTATTTGCAAAGGCATGGGTAAGGTTGAAAAAAAAAGGTTTGGTGCAGAAACTTGGGTCCCAAGGTTAAAGAGGAGAGGGCTGCCTGGCAGGTGCTGTAGCATTTATAGAGGGAGGCAGGCACCCGTGGGGAGGTGGCAGAAGTAGTGAGAACAAAAACCTTGATCTTATTCTCCTCTTGCCCTCGCATTGTCTTGTAAGTTTTTGTAACAGCCACTTATTTTCTTTGGCTGGACATAACCATGCAGCTCAGCCCACTAGAGTGTAGAGCAGGGTGGAGAAGGGTAGGTGGAGAACATGGAAAAGGCCCCACAAATGGAGACTCAATGCATATTTTATAAAGTGAACAAAAAGATACCAGAAGTGACCCCCGTCTCAGAATTCCATCAGCTTTTCCCATTTCACTTGCTAAAGTAACAGCTGCAACATTTTTTTTTTATCCTCACCTGAGGACATGCTTATTGACTTTAAAGAGAAAGGAAGGGAAGGGGAGAGAGGGGGAAAGAAACATCCATGTGAGAGAGAAACATTGATTGGTTGTCTCTCATGTGCGTTGAGACACACTAGCCAGAGTGGAAACCTATGTAATCTTATTTACCAATGTCACCCCAATAAATCCATTAAAACAATTTCATACTCAGGTTTCAGAAAGTTAGGGTGAAAATTGACTTCTCCCTCCCCCTCCCCTGATGCCCAGGTTGCTGTGAAGAGGCACAGAAATGAGTCCCAGGGGTCCCAGGTACATGAGGGGAAAGCAGTTAAGGAGGAGGCCTGGGCTGGGCCATTCAAGAGTTCCCTCCTCTAGGGAATTCTGCACTTAGACCTCCGTGAAAGAAGTGGGTACTGTACAGGCCACCTACCAGAGGGCGCCCAAATCTGCAAAAGAATCAGCTGCTGTAAGAACACATGCTCCCCCCCCACGAGAGGGGAGCAGCTTCATACACATTCCAGTGCTTGCCTAGTGACTTGACGAAGTGACAGTTTACTTAATACCTAGATACATGACTTGCCATCTATGGTCTTAAACATACAAACTGATTTCTGTGACTCTCTTGTAGGGGTGGAGATTTCATAGTTAATTTTTCTGGTTACCCCCAATAACTACTCTCCCAGACAGCTCTCTCTCTGAGAGGGCCCTTACTTTTTCCCATGTTTAACAGCCCACTGCCTTTCAGTTATAAATTCATTATGAAAAGGCTGAATTGCAGAAAATACTGCTTCTGAGTCAGTCTTCTCTGATCATTATGCCGCCAATTTCACTATGTGAATTAGAATCAGGATACTTGTTTAAATCCCACCTTGACAGATTCTGAGAAATGTTAGAGAGCTGAAATATCCTGAAGGCAAGACTGTAAAGGTCACCGGCTGCTAAGTAAGAGGAAACTCCTTGCAGTGTCTGAAATGTATCGGGATTGAAAACAATGCCCTCATAAAATCAGCAAAAGGATACCAGTCGGGGATGATTTAGAAAGATCTTCCTCCAGAGAGACAGTGTCAGCCACAGTTAACACAAGTTCATTTCGTTCTCTGTAATCCAGTGTAAACATTGGAGAGACCCATTACTTTTCTAATTACCCAGTTGGGAATTACAGGGGAAAAGGCTGGAGGTGGAGGCAGACTCCCAGTCACCCCAGGATCAACTGGGATTTCACTCATGATCCCGGGCCGGGTACTAGTTTATGTTTACAGTGTTGCTGGGACAAGAGAGCTCCGTGTTTTTGTTTTTAGCAGCCAGGATACTATCCATTTGAGTAAATCCTTGCTCCAAGATAGCAATAACTCAATTTCAATAATACTCTCATGGTTAATAGTATTGTATCAAGGTTAACTTCCTGATTTTGATATTTTTACCATGGTTATGGAAGGTGTTAACACTAAGGGAAGCTGGAGGAAGGGTTTAGGGAAGCCGGCTCTGTTTTTGCAACATTTTTGTGAAGTTAAAATGATTCTTTTGAGAAAAAAAAAAACATTATCAGGGAATAATGAAACCACCAAGGAGGAATCCACCAAAGAGTGTACCTTTGGTCCTGTGTCCAACTCATAGGGTTAGTAAAACCTGTCCATTTCAGATCTTTCCTCCTTCATACCTCAAACACTTAGTCTTTCCCAGTCCATGAAGATTTTTGTTGCACTGCATGGTATCTGCATTTAGCATTTTATTCCTGCTGGGTGTTCAAAGGACAGTGCGATATAAATTCAGTATCTGGCATCGTTGGTTTTCTTGGCTTTGTGCATGTTAAACCTGGTATTTTACTGATACAGTATTTTTAATAAAAGGATTTCTAGGTATTCTCATTATCTCTGTTCCTGTAACTAAAATCCCCTGGAATTCTTGAACATTCCTCATATCCAAGGTTTTGGGACTCAGACATATGGTTTCTCCAGAAGAATCTGGTATGGTAATGAAGAGTTAAAGGGACTTTGAGAATCCTCCCTGTTTATGCCTGAGCCGTGACCTTCATTAGAAAAGCAAATACAGTGTTGTCTCCCAGGTAGAACTGTCCCTTCTCCTCCAGAGATTAGTACATTTTGATCTTTAGCTGTCCCCTTGGGAGAATTGGCCCTTCTCCCAAAGGGAACTTACTTGAAATCACACAAGGCCCTTGGCATGTGGCTACGTTTGTGTTATGATTAAACATATTTAATCATAACCTCCAAAGTGAGACTTTGGAATCCCACTGGAGGGAAGGACGTTTTGGTTGGAACTGTTCCCAGAGGAACCCGGACACTGCTGCCTCTTGGGATTCCCCAGCATGGGTGTTCGGGTATAGGTAATTTCCCATCTGGTGATGTATGCTCTTGATTCTTGCTTTTCTTTCTGCTCTCACTTAACTGCTCACCTTTGACTTGGGATCTTTATTGTCTGCAAATCCGAACCCCCAAATTACAGTAAGTGGCCATGTTCTCATACGTGCCCCTTAATGGCACATGTAAAGGTCTAGAGAGAAAGGACATTAGGGCTACATAGCTCTCCCTTTGAGAGACCACGTTCTTCATCTTTAAGGGAAGTCCCTACATTCAGAGAGATTAAGTTGAATAAAAGGTATAATTTTCAAAACAGCCACTTGCTGTCTGGGTACAAACACAGTTTCATCCTTGTCCTGGTGAGGCCTCAGTTCCTAGAACTTGAAACTTTGGAAATCACCAAGCTGAGTGTTTTCCAAAAGTTGTGCCCTAGTTGCTTAGTTTCAGGCTGTTACTGGCAGTATGAGAGATTAACTCTTTCAGGTGCTACATTTTTCTTTTAAGATTTTATTTATTTATTTTTAGAGAGAGGGGAAGGGAAGGAGAAACAGAGAGAGAGAGAAACATCAATGTGTGGTTGCCTCTAGTGCTCCCCTCACTGGGGACCTGGCCTACAACCCAGGCATGTGCCCTGACTGGGAATTGACCCAGCAACCCTTTGGTTTTCAGGCCCACATTCAATCCACTGAGCTACACCAGCCAGGGCTATCAGTTACTTTTGTAATTTTATTAAATCACCAGTAAGCAATGACCAGGGAGTCTGACCAAGCAACTGTTGTATGAACAGAAACACTGCTCCATGCTCTCCTACTGACTGGTGGAGAGGGAAAGCTACATTGCTGCTGTTGTCATTCTGTCATTCAGCCCCCACCCTAGCGGCAGCAGTGTAGAAGGTGTACACTTTATTATCCTTTCATTGGTTAACTGAGAAATGTAGACATACATGTTTAATTTACCGAAGTCCCAAGTTAGCAAAATTTCCCCCTTCTTTCTAAATAATACAAGGCCCTGAAAACACTTTTTTTTAATTCAAAAATATGTTTATTGATTTTAGAGAGAAAGAAAGTGGGAGGGGAGAGAGGGAGAGAGAAATATTGATTGGCAGCCTCCCTTATGCTCCCCAACCAGGTATCAAACCCACAATCTAGGTATGTGCCCTGATGACAAATAAAACCCCCAACTTTTTGGTGTATGGGATAATGCTCCAACCAACTGAGCCACACCGGCCAGGGCAAGGCCCTGAGAATACTTTAAATTCAATCACTTCCCCTCCTAACTGATATGCTTTTGTTTTCATATAGTTTATGTCTAGCTTGTCTTATTTAACCTACTAGACATTATTATTAGATTTTGTAAAATTTTATTTATTGATTTTAGAGAGAGAGAGGAAGGATGGAGGGAGTGAGAAAGAAACGTCGA